CAGCTAGTCTCCGTTCTTGCTTTAATTCAGGATCAATAAAAATTATCAATAAATTCTGAACTCTGTTTCGGTACACGGCAGGATGCTTTGACATACAAATTAGAAGGTATACGTACCTACGAGGTAGGGACCTTGGATTTCTTTGTCGATGTTTGATAGTACCATCTTGAAGACATCAGCATCCTCCTTGGTTGCCTCCGATGAGAAGCAGAGCTTGCTTCGAGGACCAGCAATCTGAAAAGCGTGTGGAACGCGAATGTCAGTTTTACTTTTAAGAAGGCGTGACCAAGCTTGTAGGCAAAGACGAAACACTATGAAAAGGAGACTGTGATGGTGGATGATGCGTGGTGCACGGTTAATTCAGATTCAATGTCTCGAAAAAAAACTCAAAATCCCGAAGGAGACTTAGGGGTTTTTTTTATCACAGCTCAGCTGAAGCTCTGTATTCTGAACAGATCTTTCTTATGCAAAAAAACCATATCTAGCTCAACCACCAACTATGACAAAATATGCGACGAATTAACTATACACTGTACACCATATCTAAGAAAAATCTATTTGACGGATGCTTAGAATGAATGGTTATCCGTACAATATTGTCAGCCGCTGTATACGCAAACGCCACGAGGGACGAGCTTCAAACGAATCCAAACTTTGCGGTGCGTAGGCGTACACTAAGAAAAGCACTTCCTCACATTGATTAGAGTTCGAATCGTATTATCGAGATCATCCATCAGGCGGCGGATTACGAGGCTGACTCACTGCATCGACAGTAGACGTCTGGCATGGCTTACCCGATCTGCTGCAGTTGCGGGCAAAGCACTTATGCCGCAGAAACTCTGAAACCACTCTTGACCCGAATAGCTGAACGTGGAGTATCAGTAAGTAAGAGTGACGCTAACTCCCAGGTCGCAGTTCATTCTAAATGAGCTGGTCACACTTTCGCTCGAGTCATCAGTCTCAGGCAACGAAACTCAATGTGCTCCCGCCTTCATATCATGGACTGCGATTTCGATTGGACAAAATTATTAGCAACGCCGGGAGGGTACGGGTGACCAGCACTCACGGAGACTGCTAGCCAAATGACCAAGTAATCTTCACGTCAAGAATCGATAACAGTATCGAAGTCACGGCAGTTTTCTACTCGGGGACAAAGGAACAAACAAGCATCGCATCAACTATGCCTCCCAGCTATAAATACCACGAATTCTAATTATAGTAGGCATTTGGTGGCCTGGCGATTGTACCCTACGACTACTGCACATGCTGATGTAGAACACTGATCTGCGTGAATAGATGACCTCACCGCGGAATATAAAGCAAGTGATTAGGGCGATACAGTAGATTTCCTATTTCATGACATGCCAACTGAAATCCTGAAATGTGCTTTCGGTTCGAACACACTACGTAAGTATGGTTGTAAAACTGATTACCGTACAGCCTAACCCCAAGAAACACCAGTCACGACAGGTTGTCGGCTTTTAAACGAATATCGCTCTGTCAGCCTGCAGAAAGTAGTATCTGTTTAAATGTCTTCTAAAGTAGTATGATTTTCTCCCATTGGTTTACACTGCACTTATCTATTCAAATATAATAAATAGAAAACAAACAACAAAATAAGCTTTCTTTTACTCATTTGTTAGATAATTAGGCCTTAATCAAATTGGGAAGAAGAAGACTCGATCGCTGGGACAATACTTTTATTCGCCTAACTTTTCGAGATCCGTCGCGGAGTCGTCATCAGAGACAGAGTCAAACAGCAGTAGCAAAAACGGGTAATACATGTACAGGGGTTTGCAGTATTTATAGGATACAGTCATTGCTGCATACATGCAGAGGCAATTAACGTTAGTTGACTTCTGGTGTGTGGATATTTTATTCGTCAAAAACGTATCGGAAGCTGTCGGCCACCTTCTCGCACCACTTGGAGTTGGAGTCGCACACAGGCCGGAGGAACCGTAAGGCGTCAGGTAATGAAACCGAAAGACCCACTGCCACGACAAGAAACAACTGGAGTCGTCTACAGAATCTGGTGCAGATGTGGGCAAAGCAACTATGTCGGAGAAACTGGCAGACTTCTCAAGGCGCGAA